GTTCTTTGCAGATGAAGTGGAAATCTTAATTAAAAAAAAATGAGAATCTACAGTTAGGTTCTGGAATCTCATTTTTTAAAATGTTGACCTTTCAGTATTAGCGTGAAAACCCAAAACTTTAATTCTTCAGTGCAAGCACAGCCTGGATAACTCAGATTTTACATTTGTCTTAATCTCCTTGTGTTTTGAACAGTTTTTATAAGTGACTCATGTTACCTACTGCACCATTTTCACAGGGAAAAAAAAAAGGAGGGGGGGGGGGGTGCAGGAAAAAAAAAAAAAAGTAATTCATGTTAGACCTAAATGTTTGGAAAGTTAGTGCTTTACACACAAACTCATGGCTGTCTGCATGCATGACTATCAGTATGTGAATAATATTTGTGTTGTATGTCTCATAATTTTGTGATCTGTTTTTTGTTGTTTATTTTCCTCTCTACTTACAGTGTTTCAGTTACCCAATTAAAGGCCAAATACAGTACCATACGATAGAAATTTTTGCACATTGTAAATATTCATTGTGAAAAGCTGTAAACAACCATAACAAATATTCGACCAGTTTGGCAACTATTTATAAGTAATGAGTACTTTCACAGAATGTGCAAATCTTATACAAAAAAAAAAAAAAAAAAAAAAAAGACAGTTTTTACCGTAACGTATTTCCAAGGAGTACAATACCCAGCTCCAATCCACACACTTTTTTGCCCAAATATAGTTTCCCAAGATAGTTTTTCCTTTTGTTCCTTAAGCTATTTTTGGTTTGCTATCAGCAATAGCAGTATTCACACTGGATAGCAGAAAATAGATAATTTAGGAGAACGAATCACCAAACCTTTTCACAGCCTGTCAATATAATGTCAGTACTGATAATTGCTATTGTTTATGTCATTACCATTCAGATGGGGCTGCTTAACAAATACACGTTATCAGGTGTGGTATGTGGCCATGACACACTCATCCTGGATTCCAGAAGGGATGAAGTCTTCAGAAGGAAATCTCTCCTTACTCACTTATCAAGCTGAGCTGTTGAAACCTTGACACTTCCAATTTGCAGAGATCAATGCAAACCTTTCCCTTGGCATGGATTCAAGTATCTTGAATTTCACTGCGAGCTTTAGGTTTGAATTAGTCCAAACCCCACAGTGATACTCAGCCAAAATTGTTAATTTCTGCCAAACTCACAGAGCTTTGAATGGTTTCCATTTCTTGTTAAATCAGTGGTGTACAGCTGGCTTAAAAATTGGTTCAGGTTTGGCAGCAAACTCTCAAATTAAATCTGACTCAGTTCTGTACCCACGTTAAATCATGCCTAGGGAGTGCAAACCCACACTGGGAGCGCAGTGAAATTCTGGGAGGAGCAGCCCCATGCATGGTGAGAAGAGTACATAGCCACAGGTACCAAGCACCTCTTTCCAGTTTGCTCTCTACTTAAATGGCTTGCTGAATGCTAGCAGGGGCACTTGTCAGGGGAAGCATAACCTGCTTTCTGCCACTGAGATTCTTCCTCCCCAGGCACTGAAATGCTTTCCTTTCATATACATCATGTAGCTGATCTGTCCTCATTATGATAGCAATCAGCATGTCCCTATCATCCAGCACTGACGATCCACTGCTGTGACAGCTACTAAGGATTCAGGGATCGAGAAAAGAGGACTGTCTGCCTTGGGACACTGACTGTGGTTCCCACCTCCATCTGGCTGCTCCACCTCCATCCTCTCGCTGTATGGGTGAGGAGAGACATTTCATGCTGCGGCCTACAAGCTCTGGGAGCCAAACACACAGCTGAGCCATCCAACAGGAGGGGTAAGAAGCTCCAAAAAAGACACATGGAGCCAGGAGCTACTGTGGCTTTCCCTTTTGTAAAGCTGTATCAGTTCTGCAGGCATCAAGTCAAGTATCAGAAACATTGTCACCTCTGCTGGATCTGTGGTTTTTTTTTTTTTGGTTTGGTTTGGTTTGTTTTTTTTCCTACAAAATTTAAGACTGTTATAAATTCTGAGTCAATTTAGCTTTATAAGATTTATTTATGGGGTCAATAAAAGTCAAGTAAACAGCACTGGGTGCGCGGGGAGTCTGGGCTCCTCCAGCACACACACACGTTACATCAGGCAGCTGGTTTTTACGCTCCTAGGCTAACACATACTCATTACTACTTCTAGAAAAGGCAGGGTTATTATAATTAGTTCCCAGAATCTGAACCCTCCCACTGGTGCATGCATAATCAGTCTCCAGTGGTCCCTCTGGGGGTCTCTCGTGCTAAAGGCTCGTAGTCTTTCTCCCAGGCTTTTTCCTTGTCCTTCTCCTTTGTCCATCTTGGCTGGATATCAGAGACTTACACAGCATCCCATGCAAACTTTGTCTTTTAGTCGTCCTTCAGCTTTCCCCTTCTCCTTAGTCTCTTGGCCAGATATCAGAGACTTGCGTAGTGTCCCATGCGATAGTCACAATAGTTAGCAGTTATTCTGAACAGCCCCCCCCCCAGATATCAGAGACTCAAGGTTTACCCTTCAAGCCCTCTATTGACATGAACTGCAGAAGCATTCCTTACAAGACTAGATTTGCTAAAACTAAGGCACAATTTTGAAAAATCAAGTTTTGGAAAGCAAAATCAGTATTCTCTGGTATAAAAGAAAGCACAGCCAACTAAAAAATTTAGTTTTCTGATCCCAAATGCAGCCTTTGTCTTCATCTCAATGGGCTGTGATTAGTGTATATGTTTATCTCCATACAGGGAAAAGTTGTATTCCAATCTTTGCTTGTCAAAATAACAATGGAGTCCAAAAAGTATGTCAGAAGCACCCTAGCTGTAATTTCCATTTTAATTACAAAGAGAACAGTGCAATAACTACATCTCCTTTCCTACCCATACTTATTTGTAAAATGTTCCTGTATTTGACAACTCTCACAATTCTTGAAACAAAGCATATTTAACCGTATCATAAAGCTGGCTGCTTTAGAACATTCCAGATGATGCTTAGATTAAATCTAGTGTCACTGGCAACAAACTTTAGCACAGTGTGCACTCAAATATAAGCTACAAAATCATTTGCCTTAAAACACCAGCTGTTTTAAGCAAAGTAATACTAAAAGAAAACAAAAATAAGAATACTTTAATCTTTGAGTTTCCTTTAGGGAATTTTCTGGTTAAAGCATGCAGCCCCTGTTTCCAGATGTGCTTACAGCAAGCAGTGCACCTGCTGTTTTTTTCAGAGCAGTGTAATGCAACACCAGCAACTGGCCTGAAAACAGAGAGTCTTAATTTATTTTCTAATTATTTTTTTTTAATAAAATGAAAACCCAGATCTTTTCCTTGGAATCAATGTCTTTGCCAGCAGGCTCAGTAGGCAAACCAGTAAACAACAGCCCTGGAAGGAGAACTGTCCCTACTGCCCCAGGAGGGGTATGCTTTGCCTATAGGACTGATGTCCCAGGGGGGCTGCTGGGGTCACCTGCAGGACCATCCATGTGTTGCCTGCACACGAGGGTAATTTCTGATTGGCCACCTGGTCGCTTGCCCTGCAGCCACAGCAATCTCAGGAGAACTTTCTGAAAGGGTCAGGCTCGGAGACCTGAGTTAGTGTGGCAAAAAAGGAAAAGATGCCTGGTGTTTTCATATCCTTATGGTCCTCTTTCTGCTTTCCCTACCCTCTTCTGAATTCTCCCTCTCCTGCCCTCCTCCTCAGCTGTCTTTCTACCTCAGACAGATGTCAGAGGTGTCAGACAACTTTTACCATGGGAGACCTCTGCCCATGTACTAAGTGCCAGCTTAGTCAAAAAAAGGTATCGCAGATAATGATAACAGTGGTGAGGAGAATGAGATTTTATAAGTCAAAAATTAAACTACGTTTAGGAAAGGGGCAAGGAAGGAAGAGTCGTGTGGAAGGGAGCTGATAGAAGATGAGGAAACTCTTCAGGACAGAGTCCGTACCCTTCGCTTTGGCAGGAAAATGGAGGTCAGTGAGGAACCCCTATTTCTATGCTCCTTTGTCTCTTGCTTTTCCTTCCCCCTTTTCTGTTCCTGTCTTACTACTCCTCTTCCCCTGCCAGCTTGCAGTTTCACTGAAAGGGTGGGCGGTGACCCCAGAGAAGGCCTCAACTACTGATATTCACAGATGTGAAAGCAAAACACTGCTTCATGTGGCTGTAAATCCGGTGTCTGAGCTAGCGGAGATACAGTGGTGGGCCACAAAAACAGAGCACATTCGCAGTTACTAGAGACGTGTGTTCTCCTTCGCAGTGTCTCCACACACATTCCCTTAGGGACGGTACCAAAGGAGCTCCACAGAGAGAGCCCAGCAAGGCAGCATGGATCACACAGGAATTAGCACCAAGAAGGAAAAGCGCGATGGCTTCTAAAAGGGACTCTGTGTGACTTTTGATACATACTCCTTAAACAACTGTTTCTTTCAAAAGCATCCCAATAATTCTAAAGAAAATAGTGTGTTTAATATGTTCTTGGTGTGATAGGACAGCTTCCATTAATCCTTCACATAGTATTAAGATTTCAAGCAGCAGTCATTCCCTATATTAACACATCCTGGATTTTCTAGTCAGTACTCTATCTTCTACTGTTTAACACACCATCAAACACTTTCTATTTCTGCTCTAGGATCTATTTCCTGCTTTATGCTAAACTTAATCCCTTTTCACATTCGTTTTATAAATTCTTATTTGTTTTATTGAATTATTATGCTAATTCCAAGTCAATTTATGATCATTTAAGGACGCAGTAGTGATAGTATAAAAAATGTTATTGTTTTCATGGAGTTGTAGCAGTTATGATACAGCTATTTTTATGAGAGATTAAACACCTCCAAATTTATGGAGGTTATTATGTTTTTAATGGCAAAATTAAATGATAGCAAGAAGAGATAAGAATCAATACTTTCAGACCAGGAGTAGATAAAATCTGAAATAACTAGGATGATCGTTTTTACAGAGAGAAACAGGGAATTAATTCTCTATAGTGTTGTACCAGCTCTACATCAGGATAAGCAATGCTTGTCCATCCAGCAGAGATATTCTGGGTTTCCCTGTCATTAAGCTAGAGACATATAGAGGAGAACCCAGCCCAAGAATTTTCTTCAGGATTTGAGAAAATAGCTTGTAGCTTTGGAAAAAGGACAATTACTCTGTAGCACTCTGAAAGACCATTCATGCAGGAAGTTTTTTGAATAACTTGTTTTATTATTCATGCATGCTGGTCATTTTGTACGTGTTGACAGTCCCTTACCAACAGGAAAAAAAAATAGGGGAAAGAAGAAAAGAGCACAAGAGGAAGAGAGTATGGATCTGTGAAACTGAGAGTTTTTCAAGGAAAAAAGAATAATTTTAACATTTAATAAGTGAACTTTTTAAAAAGATCATATATCTGATCATGCAGGGGAGATCATGAGCATCGTTCATATGTGCAAAGGGATATACCATTCTATGTATTCTGTAATATGAAAAAATATGGAAAAAGGAAGACTGCAACATCCTCCAGAGAAGACAGCATGATCAAAAGGCTTTTGTTGGACGTGGCTGTGATTTGCGGAAGCACCACACTAGTGCAGTGCTCTTTGCACAGTCACTAACACCAGCATGCTCACAGCAGTCTGGGTGTAATTGCTCCCTGAAATGGAGGAAAGTAAAGGAAAGGGAGCAGAGTATGGCACCACTCAAGCAAGAGTTTGGTTACATTTTCACAAGTTAGAATGAAAAACCCTGGCTCAGAAACTCATCAGGAGCAGCAAGACCCTGCCACTCATAGGGGTGATGCCTTGTTCCCAGGAGGGGCAAGTGGGTAGCTGTGAGTGTGGCCGAGGCTGGGGACTGTGCACATGCACAGATAGGAACAGGCAGCAGGATCCCCATAGGCTTTCTGCCACAAGCCCTGAGGCTCATCCCTCCAATAAAGAACAAAGATATACTACCCTCAGAGAGCTCTTGGAGGCAGCTCAGGGGGAGTTTCCTTCCTTCCAATAGGGGAAGTAAGGCCACCCTACAAATACCAAAGGATTTATTGATTTTTCATACTCCATCAAGAGAGGGTGTCTTACCTTCATCACAGTGTTAGGCATGAGCTGTTCCACTGGAAATGCCCTTCCATCTCATCCTTATTTTTTCCTGCTGTTTTTCTTACTCTGGTCACACAAAGGTAAATTAGTATGCAAGGTGGAAGGCAGAGAAGAATGAGGCAGTCATAGGTGATTTATAAAAGAAGGAGACATTGGCATCTAGGATAACATAATGAAAACAAGAATACTGAAACACAGAAAGAAACTAGACCTACCCTGCCTATGAAGAACACAAAGGTAACAAGTCAAAGAGGAAAATGAGTTGCCTCAAAACCAACAAAAAGCAGGGATATAGACAAAAAGAGCTTTACATCTTCTTACAGATGCTGCAGTAAGTATTGAAGTATGAGATATGAAGGTCACTTATCTAAACTTCCATCCAGCCCCAGGCAATGTAGATGTTAATGTACACTCATTACTTTGAAAGCTCAGACTCATAAAACAGGAGCTAAAATCTTCAATTTCACAGCATTATTGTAGCATTTTATTAGTTAAGACTATAATACAGAGCAAATTCTCCCCATCATCAACATAACACTTTTTTCATGCTAGTAAATGAGTTAGCGACAAAAGCTCCATTTTATTACTGTTAATTTTTATTTTTTTTTTATTAGCTGCCATGTTTTGAAGCTGCCCCATCATCATCCTTCACAATTTTCATCAGTTTAGTAACAAAGAACCATGCAACAATAGCTGCTTTCTGTAATATCACCACTGCTTCTTGGAGCTTCTTACTAACACTGAGGGTTAAGCTTTGATTGCCTTGTTCCAGAGCTGTAGTGGTAGGACATGTTCAGGTTATGACACTAAGAAGTAGGTATTTACTGACCAAGTTCAAAAGTAAATACCTTCAGTTAGAGCTGAATACCACCCTGAACTCTCACCAGTGGCATTACATAGGACATGTTAATATTTCAACAGTATATATGGCAAATTTCAGCAATTCTTTTCTAAGAGAAGGCAATTGTACACAAGTGTGTATAGGGCACATGTTGATTATGTGTAAGTACCTAGGCACCCTAGAGGGTATCAGTTCTGTTTCCTGTACAAATTGAGCTTGCACAAGTGTTTCTTTTATTTTAAACCATAACAGCAAGTGATAGGAGTAGATACATTTGCTATGTAGATACATAAAGCTATGGCATTACAGCTTTTTCTCTTCGGTTCTCTCTGTGCTGTTTTATCCTTGTCATGGATGTCTGTTGCTCTCTCTCTCACAAAAACAAACAAACAAACACAAACACTGGCACCACCAGAAGCAAGGTTGTAACAGGTTGATTTATCACTGTCAGATGTATTTTATTTCACAGTATCCAAAATGACTTATTATTAAAGCACTTTTCTGATTACAGAACTATTTACATGTTTACTATTTGATACTAAGGAGATCATTTGTGGTTTTACAAGAGAAAATTACCAGGGTCATGTAACTTTTTCACATCTTATTTTGTATTGTTAAGGGAAAACGTTGCACTCTCTTTCCAAATATAGAGTAATTGCTGCCTGTAAAAGGGAACATTTGCTGCTCCCACTGCACAGACCATGGTTTCCATATTGATTTATCATTTTCTGAGGGGCAATTACCTCAGTGACTAGTAACTCAATGTGACAAAGCAGATAACCTTCCCACACAAGATGTTCCTTGACTGAAAACCTACCAATGCACCTCCATTTCCCTACACTGAACACTCAGTCCTCCCACAGGAGAGGTCTGTCAGAGCACTCTGGATTGCACAGCTGTCCTGGTTTTAGCTAGGATAGAGTTAATTTTCCTTCTAGTCACTGGTAGGATGGTGTGTCTTGGATTTAGGATGAGAATAAAGTTGATGCCACACTGATGTTTTAATTGTTGCAGAGCAGTGCTTACACCAAGCCAAGGACTTTTCAGCTTCTCGCTCTGTCCAACCAGCAGGCAGGCTGGGGGTGCAGCAGGAGCTGGGAGGGGACAGGACCTGGACAGCAGACCCCAACTGGCCAAAGGGATATCTCATGCCATCTGACGTCATGCTGAGCAATCAATATGTGGTGGCTGGCCGGGGTGAGGGGACCAGCTGCTCAGGGGTAGGCTGGGCATCAGTCAGTGAGTGGTGAGCAATTGCATTTTGAATCACTTGTTTTGTAAACATTATTATTAGTAGTACTGTTATCATTATTATTATTATTTTCCTTTCTTTTCTGTCCTAATAAACTCTTTATCTCAACCCACAGGCTTCATTTTCCTGATTCTCTCCCCCATCCCAGAGAGGGAGGGGGGAAGGTTAGTGAACAGCTGTGTGGTGCTTGGCTGCCAGCCGAGTTAAACCACAACAGTCCTTATTCCTACTCACACCTTACTCTCAAGCTTTTATACCCTCCAGGGATGCCTGTAGTTTCATCTAACTATATAAATAAAACCTTAGCTACATGCAGATCTTCGTGGAACTCCCTTCATATCTCATTTTATCATCAAGCAGTGCATGCAGAGATACATGAAGTCTACCTGAGTTCACTACAGAGACTGGTTTAAACACAAACAAAAACAAATAAGACAATTAAGCAACAATGGAAGATCAAAGTTTACCCGATCATCCAATGCAATCGATGTCCAAATGCTTGTCTGACTTTGCAAAGTTCTTTGAATGGAAAAGGTCTCTTGAATGAGTTAGTTTAAGTCTTGGCAACAAAGAGAGAAGGAATTTCTCTGTTACTACTAAGATTGAAACTGCATAATCCAAACTTCCAGCCCTCTTGGTGAGCAAACTAAGTAACAGACTTTGTTCCCCAAGGGCTTTCCACCAAACTGACTTTCCCTTGGTATGCTAGGGGCAAGGTTCCCTTGGTCCCCTCCCTTCCTAGAAGCCCTGTGCAAGATGAAAGTGATGGGAGCAACCACAAAAGCAAACACTGAGGAAGCCAAAGCTCACAGCCCCTGCCACTCAAGCAGAGGACTACTGAGGTCCATAAAATTAAGTCTGGCCTGACAGTTTTATTGGGTCAGGACTGTCATGTTTTGTACTGCACTGGATTCAGCTGCAAGCCTGGCTAATCTCTCTGGGTTGTCTCACCTTGAGCAAGGACAGCTCCAGGAAGTTTCAGCTCCAGTTCACACTCTCACCAAGGAAATCAGCTGAGCAACCATGCTGAATTATTTTGCCTCTAACAATTGCTCTCTGACTACAGTACTGCTACAGTTCTGCTTTTTCTGATTTGACCCTCCAACCTCAAATGTAGTTTTCTGCTAGTATATAACCTTGTGCCTACTAACAACACAACAAACAATTAGAGCTGGGTTGGTACTGTCATTAAATTGCCATTTAGCGTAGCCTAATCTGATGGTGCACTATTTGTGACTACAACATAATGGCTTATCCATATCAGCCGGAGGCTCCTCATAATACTTAATTCTTCATGTCAAGACTCAGGTAGCAATTCTTCTGTCTGCACTGCCCAACCTGGGCACTCACTGCAAAATACATCTTTAACATCTTGTATTATAATGTGGGTTCTTAATTTCCTGTTTACTTTGATTTGTCAAATGAAGCCTAGACAGGCCAATCACAAGAAATTTGCAGTTTAAGAAAGTAGAAGCAATATAAGAATTCTGATGAAGCAAGCCTGCAAGTCGAAGTATTTCTTTGAGCCATATTACACTTACTTTGCACACATAAGCATGATGACAGCATCAGTCTCTCAATGCATAGGTAGTGTCTCAAGCCAAGTAACTGTACAGCAGTATTTATGCCAGAAAATAAATAAATAAATAAATAAATAAACAGCAGTAAGGCACTGAGTAATTGCAATAAACCAAAAATGAAAGCACTGTGTTCTTCATTCCTGGATGTCTCCTGGAAGTTATTTTCATTAGAAGCAAGACTAAATGACCTACTGGCTTACTGCTGGCCTTAAGATCTAAGACTGCATGTCCATCTAAAATCTTGCATAAAAGCAAATTCATATGGAGGGCTTTTCTTGTATAAAGATGTTAAAAAATAAATAAATAAATACATAAATAAAAAAAGGCAACCTCCTTAAGCTGCCCTTGTGCTCTGAAAAAGCAGTGCAATGCACTTTGATGCCTCCCACTAACTTATTGGCACAGTCTGCAAAACAAAGTGAAAGCACAGAGCAGACAGGTTTCCTGCCTGCCGGCCTAGCACAATTTTGTCTTTTCTGTGATGCACAGCAGTAGCAACGCAAAGGTTAACAGGCCAAAGTGTGCACATGCAGGAAAACAAACAGGATCTGCTCTTTTCTGCCAGGTGTCCTACCACAGCAGGGGGAACAGATGGCAAAATCAGCAAAATTTGGATGCACAAAACCACTGCTCCATCAGCAGCATGTTACCTATTTGCAAAGATGACCTTCCAGAGGAGTGCTTCCCGCTAAAATCACTACCTTAGCATCACTTTACATTGAAAGTAAATGTCAGTAAAAGAATTTGAGGTAAGCAACAGGTCTGATACTTCTAGGTTTGTTCTTGAAAAGGCAAATTTACAACTGAATCAGTCATTAGAAAGTCAGTTTGCAGCTGTGACAAACAAGTGAAGAGCTATTCAAGTCACGGTATCACCAATGGTATTAATGATCTTGGTAATGAAAAGCTGATGACTTTTAACAAGTGTTATCTGACACACAAGATAAATACTATTAAATATGAAAAGTCTCTTTAATTACATGTGGAGTTTAGAGGCTTGTAAAAACCAGGCAAATTGGTATGCTGCTGTCTCCCTTACCTGTCACTTGGCAGAATAATGCCATAGCTCAATTACTGCGAGCACCGCTGGTGCACAAGCCTTGTCTCCAAACAAAATGTGGAAGTACAGGCTCGCTTTCTGAATCTTTCCATCTTTCCATTAGGAAACAGTAGGTTTAAACAATTACAAAAACAAAGCTGAGTAGTTCTGCACAACTGGGTAGTAGAGGTGACACAGGTTCCCAGCCAGCAAAGAAGTTCCCACATTTAAAAGGTTTTAACTGCATATTTGTCTCTCATATCCAAGAATCTTGCAGAGTTGTCTATGCCATTTCTTTTTCTCTAAGACACTGATAGTCACAAAGGCATACTGTATGTCTTTAAGGAGAGTTAAAAGGCACAGTCAGATAGTCGATTTCTGACCAGGTTTGTAATTTAGAATTCAGCAGGCTTTTGTTTCACTGCCTGTGATAAATACTCTGCTTTAAGGCTTTTAAATGCCAGTCCTGCTTTCTCCTAAAATGGTAAATGCCTGCTTAAGAAAAAAAAAAAAAAAAAAAAGAAAGCCTGTCCAACCTTCACACTTCTTTACATATGTATTTTTATGCCAGCTTTTAAAACAGCAAATAAAGCTGAGACTTTTTCTTTTTGATAAGAAATATGCTATCTCAATATTTCCAATGATTTTCACAAGTTTTGGTGACTGAGGCTTAACCTACCCTTGTGAATAGCAGTGACACTTCCCACTGCTTTCACCCTGTAGCAGAGGCACAGGAGAGAAATGTGGCTTTTCCAAAACTGCACCTTATGCTACAGATTCAAATCTATCCCATCAATGGATTCATGTAAGATGTCTCATCTTTGACCTTAAAAACCCTAACTCACATTCATACATGTCTGGAGTACGGGGGGGTGTAAGGCGTCTCTCATGTTAAATCAGAGGAACCCTTCAGTCACAGAAAGATTGAAATCTAGGATGAATATTTATCTATGCAGCATTTTCTTAAATAAATCACAGTTCAATTTTCATTAAATTTGACGTTTGGTCCATTTATGACTGAAAGACATATATAACAATGATTTCTCAAAAATATGACAAATTCAAATTATACTATTAGGAAATATTGTTTCCCTTTTGATCTTTTAAAACTTAATTTTGTCTATACTTGATTGAAAACAAGTTCTAGAGATGATTGGAAGTAGAGGGAGGAGAAGGGAGGGAATGGCATAGGGAACGAATTTGTGATCTTCACTTCACTTAGCAGTTGTTTGAAAATGGAAATAAAATCAAATTCTCCTCCTTGACTTCCCAAATGGCACATTAGCCATATTTCCTGTACTGTTCATTTTTCACTTCCCTGCCACAGGAGCTGAAATTATTTTGTGGGAATCATTTAGTAGTGCTTTGAATAGAAATTTTGGTGCCTTACAGGTGAGCATCTAAGCTGACAAGAACTACCCATGCAAACTTCAGTAGGAAACAAGATTCTGTTGAACCTCACAGGACTGATGTTTTATGTTTGGTGCAGCCACTTTCTGGAGTCACATCTGGTTGCCTTCAATAAGATTATGTGGTGCAGTATGAAAGACTCTGCTCCTAATTGGCAAAAGTTACAGGACCTGCTTGTGCCAAATACAGTGTTTTTCTCTTGACGTGCTCCTCTCTATCACTCTCCTCACTGCCGGGAGCAGTGGACCCTCAATTCCAGGAGTTGCTCTGCACACTGCAGGATCCAGTCCATTTGAGTTTTTTACTGTTCCGTGTGCATTAATTATCATCACCATAGAAACAGACATAACATGCATTTGACTTAAGAAGGAAGCATGATTAATATGTTGTAGTTCCAATTTAAAATGTTATTAACCTTTCATAATCAGAACCAGATACTCTTACATTTTGAAATGATACAGTATTTTATTAAGTCTTGAAGCTGCCTCCATTAAAATCATTGGAGGTGTTAAAGACGTGCTTTTGACTTTTAATGGGAACAATGTAAACTCCTAACTACCTGAACTAACCACAGGATTTTTTAATGAATTACAGTGTATGATTCTCCATGAGAATCGTACACTTTCTAATACTAAAGAACCTTGTTGTATTTATTACCTTCTTCTTCCATAAGTATTTGAGAAGCCAAAGTGGGTGTTGAAAGGAGGTTAGGAGTGTGTCAGAAAAGAAAAAAAAAAAAAAAAAAGTACGGTATGAAAAGGGCAAACAGACTGTCAGGTGTTAAGAAGAAAACCAAAAGTTTAGCTTATTTGATTATGGAATTTTTATGGAATTTGTAATCCAAACCCTTGGCCACCTTTGTCTTGCCAAGCAGAACCAAACACTGTAACTCATGGTACCTCCAGGATCAACCCCACTACAGCAACTTGTTGAAGACACAGTATGCACCAGTGTGCCCAAACTGGCCAGCAGATCAGCAGAGCACAGTCAGCATTTACCTTGATCTCCATGCCTATACTTTACCAAAGGCAAAACCACCAGCTCTAATGGTGCAGTATCAGAAGGAAGGTGTTCACAATGTCATCTGGGGATCTGGCCACCCTTGTTAGGTGTAATGCAACAGGTGATGCGCAGACTCATGAAACAAAATCATTTTCTCTCTCAGGAACCTGAACTGCAAAAAGAATGTATTAATGGTACATCTGTAAAAGCTCCACACAGCAGCCAGGAACTTCCTTAGCTTTCTCTCTGCTTGTAGAGCAATGTACAGTGTAAAATCTCCAAGCAACAAAACCCCCTGAACAGAGGAATATCTAATGTTCGTATCGTTTTATACAGGTACATCGTAATTTACACAGATTGTTCTATTTTACTTTTTGTACAATCCTATCTTAGAATTACATTGTAAAGTCACAAGTAGATTCATAACTATTAATAAATACTATGAATATCTATAAGGTGCATTGTAAACAAAATGTGAAAAAAAAAAATAATCTTAATACATAAGAATTATAAACTGCCGCAAGAATATTAAGACTTTACCTGGTAACAGCTTCACATTATGCCATCTGGGAAATAAGCCCAAATGACAGTAAATGATTATTTTTTCATAGTCTGAAATAACTCATTGCATTTTTTTTTTGTGAAAATGCAGCTGCTGAAACAAACCTTGCAAACAATCATGGTATGCAAGCTTGCATAGCAAGTAAGTTTAACATACACACAAACACATATATGAATATATCTAACTGTAGCTATATGATATATGATGTATTTTAACATATGTGACATTGTTCTTTGCATTCACTGTCACAAGAGCTGCAAAACCATTTTTATTGCACTATAGAAAGCAAAGCAATGAAAAGTAGTAATACATGCTTATTTAAATGGAGTTCTGTTCGGCCCAGAACCTCTTGGTGTAGCTATATGAATATTACTCTTCATTTGAATAATATTTAGCATTCTTCCATCTATTTACATGTTAGCATCAAAATTCAGTTGTTACAATCATTGGAAAACATCCCAAGGAAACCAAGGATGTCTCATCCTTGTTTTATAGGCAGCTGGGCAGCAGAGACAGAAGTGTGTCAAATAACAGCCTGAAGGAACGCAACAAACCAGTGTTGGAGGCAGAAACCAAACTCAGGCATAGACCTAATTGGGGTAGAAAATAAAGCATAAAATCTCAACTAATTAAAACAGCATAATTGTGGTAGTAACTTATCAAGAAAGTTCTTCCAGTGTAGGCACGGAGCAGGGGGGAGTTGATTTTTATTTTTTTTTTTTAATTATTGCAGTTTCTTTGTTTGTTTCTTTGCTTGTTTTCTAGAAGAGAGCTGTACTCCAGAGTAGCCAAGCGGTTCTGTACTCAGGTGTGGGAAGGATGGGGTGTTGGTCCTGTGCTAAAGCAGATTCTTTCTGTATGTAGTATGAATGTCCCAGATACTCAGCTACTACTCACTGCTACTGCCTTCACTAGAAATGAATAAATAAGCAAAATTAACACTGAAAAGCTCCTGTTTTCCTCTCCATATAAACAAGGAAATAAAAAAAAGAAATCATAAAATATTTCATGGGAGGGAAAAGATCCAGGGAACTATATTCAAAGGAAGTGCGAATTCCCAAACAGGTATTTCTTTTGACAAACCATGCTACTTCTACATACTGTTGGTGCTGTATCTTTCCATCAGAGAAACATGGAAGTAATAGAGCTGGGAGATGCAGCCAAGTGCAGCCACCTGCAGATAGTAGGAAACCACAAAATATTTCCTGGAGCAGCAGATGCCTGTGTTTATTAGCTTACTGCAGAGATTGAGGAAAAACAGGAGATGGAAGGCTCAAGGAGGGAAAAAAAAAAAATGAGGAAAGATTTTGTGCTTCACTTATTGAAGGATGGAGGGATTCAATTAAGGGATGGTTAAATAAAAATGAAAGTTTGTGTTCATATGTTTCTGGAAGGTATAAAATGTGCAGAATATGCAGAAATGTATAGATTTTTCTCCTTGATTCAGGTTCACATTAATATTTCTGGTCTTAGAAATCTTATCTCTTTTTGAAAATGAGATGCTCCTGACAGAAGGATTTTCACATTTTAGAAGTGTTTAGCCTAAGGGTCTGAGCTAAAGTGAATATGAATCAATAATGCCAAGTGAAACAAAGTAAATAATGAAATCAATGAAAAAACTCCCATTGAGTCTAACTCCCAGCAGACTACAGATCAGGCCATAAGGCCGTAGGAACATATCCAGTAGGAGGGAAATCCTGAGAGAAAGTGTATTTAGGAAAAAGTGCTTCTATTTTTCTTGGCATGATTAAGATCTATGAAAGGAATTCAGCAATTTATCACCACAGTGCCCCTCACGATGTTGTAATGACCTACCTCACCAAGGGTCCAGACAGTGCCAAGGCTGGTAGGAATGTGCTACATTTGGGCAATAGAGCAAATTGTTACTGGAAGAGAAGTTATATTCCTTGATTGCTGTGCATACTGGCAAATAAACCTGTATTTCCCGTCAATGGAGATTTTTAAATTTAGTTTTCAAGGTAAAAGGAAAAAAGGAAAACATATTCAGCATGAGAAATACATTAGGAGGAATGGATAGATAGCACTACAAATATGAAGAGGTCAGACCAAATAGGTTGATTTCTTCTCAGAGTTTTCTTTAGATCAATGTCTAAAAGAGCTGGACAATTTGTAATGGCCAATTAAAAAGCAAGACAGTCATTTGAGAAAAGGTGGGCTATATGTGACTACAGAAAAGGAAAGCAAGTATACTGAAGGTGTAAAACTATTTCTATCATTTAAAAAATACATCCAATTACCTCCTTCTTCCTCTACCATTCACCTTTTTCTGCTTTCCAGATCAACGGAATTAAAGGAGCTTAGTTTGTCCCTTCGGCTCCATCATTTTCTGTTTGGCCTCAGCTTTCAGAGTATCCAGAACTGCCAGGAATTTTTCTGGCTGAGTTATGAGCTAGGGGCTGCTTACCCTCCAGGTTTCTCAGACAAAGCAGTAAAGCACTACTAGGTCAGAGGAAAATCTGGAACAGAACTGAGAAACAAACCCACATCTCCCCAGCCAGCATTCAGTACCATAACACAGAGACCACACTTTTCTCACTACCTTGCTATTATCACAAAAACATAACAGGAACCAAATTTTGACAAATAATCAGTTACGCAAGCCAGGCAATCTGTCCTAGGAAAGGTATGTTTTAATCACCATTTTTCCTCAGTCTCCAGCCAAAGGCCTGATGGTGGTGATATTGTGAACCAAGAGCTCAGACCTGGAAGAATAAAATGCAGAAAAATATACAAGTTCTTTAGTGCTATGACTTACCTGCACTCCTCGGAGAGTAAAAAGTTCAATAATTGCCCTCTGCATCATTGGAAAGGTTAAGGCTTATTAGGAATGCTAAGGATGATTTCTGATTTCTAAGTGCTTCTTGTTTCCCAGTTCCTGGTATCCTGTTAAAGACAGGAGAAATACTGCTGGCTGGTCACTCTTCTGAAATTATAAAGAAAAAATGAACTCTCTTGGAATTAATCATATGCTACACACCATACTACAATTATTCTAGGGAACAAAGGTCTGGCTACAGCAAAATTTTACATGATACAGTCAAAAATATTTTCGGTTTTCACAAATGAGATCTAGTCACTTTCTTAGCATGAATTCTGCTGTATGGTTCTGTGGAAATAGTTCTCTTCAAAACACCTAAGATTTCTGTGTTGATTTAATTTTATCCCTTCTGAAGAAGGATATTAATTCTTTGGCAAAGATCCAAAATTCATTGTTGGTAATGAGAATGCCCAATGGCTGGACAGTTTCAGAGGATCACTGTCTTTTTAATTCAAGACTGAAGAGCGTTATATCTTCTTTTAAATGCTGGACTGTAAAACTATCTCGCTGTACAGTTGTTTTAGATTTCTCATTATTTTAAGCTTCATATTATTGTTATTTTAAATTACAGTGCTGTAATTCACACACACTGGCATGAGAGGCGGAAACTGAAAAATCTTAATGCCTACTATAGGTTGGTGTGCCTAAGGGAGACCAGAAAAATAAAAAAGTTGGCATTAATTCCTTGGTCAGGGATTTTTTTTTACAACAGGTTGGTTTAAACTCATGTTTGCTGATGGTAGATACATTAAATCACTGTGACTGGAAGGCTTGGCTCAGCACCTCCCAATTTTAGGGCTCTGCTGGCCAATCTACCATGGCACGCAGAGTACTTGTGCTGGGCTGTGCCTCACCTAACAATGAGCAAACTGCTACCAGCATTCACCCACCAGTGGACACCAGCATAAGGACTTTGTGAATTGGTCCCCCAGAATCATCCAGAATGACTAAAAATACAGAACTGGAATGTACCCAAAAAATGGACTTCCTGTGATGTTTCTGTTAATATTTCTTCATAAAGTTGCACTATATTTATAAACTAGTATGAAATGTCCTAAAAAGTAAAGGAAACATTAAAAGACAAACAAACTCCCTGTTGGAAATCCCAGAGATCCACACCTGGTATAGGAATTTCCTCTGAGATTCCCAATGCAGATGAAGGTCCGCAGCCTTTTTCTTTCTTACCTGCTTCTTACTGAGCCCCACCAAAATGTCTGTCTATAACCTTGCCATGTGTTACTAAGAATTTTCCATCCTTTTAGAGAATGAAGATATCCTACAGAAGATACCTAGTGGCCTACTCCAACTTTCTTTTTCTCCTTCCTAAAAATAGTGCTGCATGTCACAGAATAATCACAGAATGGCTGAGGTTGGAAGGGACCTCTGGAGGTCATCTGCTCCAACCCCCCTGCTCAAGCAGAGACACCTAAATCAGGTTGTCCAGAAAGCTTTTCAGGATCTCCGATGTGGGAAACTCCACTACCTCTCTGGGCAACCTATTCTAGTGCTTCATCACCTGCGCAGTAAGTGCTTCTTGATGGTCAGACAGAATCTGCGTTCCTGTATGTGCCTGCTGTCTCTTGCTCTGTAACAGGACAACACCAAAAACAGCCTGGCCCTCCCTTTAGGTATTTATGCATATTGATAAGATCCCCTCTGGGTCCACACAGGCTGTTTAGGCAAAATGGCTATTACATTACAACAGGTGCAGCCTAAATTGTTTCATGTGTATTTTCTTGTGTGGGCAAGCCCATAATTCAAGAAAGTTTATACAGTCTCCCTAAATAATTGTCTCTCTAAATAACTTAAAAATTACATTTCTGACAAGTGGCTTATTTAGAGTTAGCATAAACATTTTCCTGACAGAATAAACTGAGTGTGACAGAGATATGGAAACTTGCTCAGTTAAGCCATAGAATCCCAGCTTTATTTAAACAATGCTGTCTGCAACAAGTTTTCAGTGTTTAAAAGCTGGAGAGATTGGTGAGGGGTTCAGTAAACTACTTGTTGCTTCTGTTACTTGACCCTCGAGGGAGAAATCTGAAGAAAAAAAAATAACACATTTATGCAACACACCACTACACTCATTCAACAGTACGCTCTGCTTTAAAAATGGTATGGAAGAACTCAGCTGTAAATTGAGTGTCAGTGCTCTCCTGTGTTGACCACAGCAACATATTTGTCTTAGTGCTCTGACAGTCGAGCAAGCAGGCATGCATGAATGATGCTTACGGATGGCACTTGTGTATGTACTGTTTCCCGAAACTTGTTCAAGGACATGTCACCCTTGGAACAAACAATTCTTAATTCTGTCAAGTTTGGTGTCTCCATGGGTTATCTGCCAAGTAATTGTCAGTTCTTTAACCTAAAAATGTCTGGGGACAACTTCAAAGATCAATGGGAACACATAGATATTTTGGCTTTCTCCTCTCTGTATGCTTATCTCCCTTCAGCTGCAGGTTTTTCCCACATCCCATCCTGTTTTCATACATCTATGTCTGTGCCAAACTGTGATCCAGCCATAACTTGAGGCAGTACAAGGCAGACCTGAGCTAGCTTATGCTGAGCACTGCAAGCCAAGGTGACCATGGTCAGGAATATGCACACAGACCCCAGGTGTCAGGAACATGTGTGCAAGCAGACATCCTGCATCCTGTTTTCAATCCAGAAAGGGACGACACCCATCCTAGAGGGACCTGTAGTCCTGAATCACCAACATTTCTTCTTGGACTGACTCAGAATACAGCAGGGTATAGGTGATCCACATGGGGGGAACAAAGGGACAATGAAGCACATCAGCAGGGCATAGTATTATGGAAGATTTGGAATTGCCCTCTAATTTTAGCTGTGACTTCCTCAGTGGTGAAATGGTACACTGTCATTTCACTTCAAGTTGGCTGCTTCCCTCACCTCACTACTGTTTTGCAGATGCAGACAGAAGCAAAAACACTGTGCCACAGTTGTAGACTTCCAGTGATCAGAGTGCCATTTTTGTTATGTTAGAGGAGCAAAAATAACAAGCTTTATGCTTGTTGTAAAAAATAATATACTATTAAACATTATTAAATGCACCGCCACCCAAATATCATTTAATCTAAGTCTCCTTCTCCCAGGGAGAAACTGAGATTAGTTTGAGCCATTACTGGAAAGTGATAAAATAGCATGTGTTTTGCTCAGTTAAAATTATAGGTGATCTCTGAAGTTTCTTGTTAAGATTAGTCTCCCTGTACTATCTATTTAATTTGTCACTTTTACCCTGTCACTAACCCAGCTATGAGCTAAAGAAACAGAAAAATTCCCTTTACACAGACAGGAAAGAGCTTTTCTTCTCAGCCTGGGTCTTGCTGGGGTGAGAGCAGAGGGGGAATACCATCCTGGCAGAGGACATCAGGTTTTCCACAGCAAGCTTCTGCACCAGCCTTTCAAGGAGGAGGCCACAAAGATAGGAGCAGAGGGCATAGTGCTGTGCCAGGTACCCTGAGAACTCGTGTGAAGGGGATCTCCTCCCATCGCACCTTCCCCTTTCTTCCACCAGCATGCAAGCACACAGGCTAACCACAGGGTAGTTTTGCTGTAGCACACAGACAAGAGCATTCACTTCAGGTGCTGCTGCTGGCTTGTGGGCTGACAGCAAAAAAGGAATGGCTTTCTGCCTTGTTTTCTGATCTGTGTCTATAAGAAAAAAAAAAACAAACACAACAACATCCTAACTTAATTTAGGAAAGGGGATTCTGTTCTTCCCACTGCTGCTGCTGGAAATAAAGCATCTATTGGAAAGTAGATTTAGGGTATATAGCTAAAAGCAAATGTTTTGTTTGCTTGTTTGTTTTGTATTTTTTTTTCTTTTTCAATGCAAGAAAACGTCTCTTCAACCTGCAAATAAATAAATAAATAAATAAATAAAATAAAATAAAATAAAATAAAATAAAATAAAATAACTTGGTAGTCTCAATTATTAAGACCTTCTTATATCCAGACCTTGTGACTCAGGAATAAGGAACATGGCTGTGCTTTTATGGAACATGCCCATACTGGATGTAAGCGTAGCACTTGCAAGACTCTCCAGATAGTGCCCCATCATGCATTGTTGTCAATGCATGTCAAAGTAACAAGAAGAAAAGCTGCTTTGAATGAAAATCTCTCTTAAATTGTTCCAAAGTTTCAGTTAAAATGTAGATAAAAAATCCAGAGAACACTGTATAGTCTTACTCAGGTAGGTTTAATTAATGCTATATATTCCAATTTCTGTCTCCTTCCAAAAAAGGGGTTAGAAAGTCATTCCACCATCTTCCATTGTTCTCTAGGATTTTTTTTACAGCAAATTGGAAAGACTGAGAAATTAATCTGGCAGCAGATTTCACTTACATAAAAAAATAAAAAATGCATCTATATATATCCATTGTTGGGACTAGAACTGTGGTCTCAGATAAAAGATGTTGACTAATAAAAAGATGAAATCTCATGAGATATTCAGTGAATCACTTTGGCTTATTCCTCTCCTAGAAATATACCCAAGCAGGCCTATACTTCATGTGTATGAAATGCAGAAGACAATTCCATGCTACTGTTTTTTGATCAGGAAGTGCTATCTTGTTCCAACTCTCCTCATGCCATTTTGTTTCCCTGGTGTTCTGCTTCTTTGAAGTATCTCTTTTTTAGCCATCTGGCCAAGTAGCTTTTTTTCCAATTAAGGAACCTGTGTGAAAAAAATAAGTGCCCACTGATTTTAAACTGTGCTAATGAGGCATCCATCACTGTATTTTCTGGCTATTCTATACATGTATATGCTGACACAAAGTCGGTTGTTATAGAGTATGAGTATAAGTTATTCATGAAGACAGTCTTGTGTGCCCTAAACAATGCTCTACTCTTAATTACATTGTCACACAACAGCTGAAGAACTCTCAGGAGCCCACTCCAAATTTTTAAAAAAATGACTTGACTCAAACAGGAGTTCTGCTTTCTGAAAGGCTGTATTTAAAACTATATCTCTCTACATGCTGACAGATATGTAGTCAAAGACAGATAATAGCTCTGCTAGTGGTGTTGCCTCTTGGTAGATATG